TGCCGCTACGTTATCATCCAAGCTATTTTCTCGTCTTATGTCAATGTTCCCGAGGTGGCTGTTGGTCCATTAACCTGCCGTGCATGTTTTTGGAATGTGGGAGGAGACCGGCGTACACGGAGAAAACCCACGCAGGCCCGGGGAGATCCCCAAAGATGTGCATTCTAAAATGAGCCTACAGACGTGGCTTTCAGTAGGCGTAAAAAGCAGGATTACAGAGGATAACGTTCAATTACAATAACAACATAATAGTTTTGCTGAAACTCTTCATCCTTCCTATTTTGTTCTTAATTTACAAATTGCCATCTCGTGGTCGATGGAAATTTCCAACTTTGTAAATTCCCAGAATTTTGCAACCCCATGACCAGCACCTGTCCTTGCTAAGACTGCTTTCAAACACAACCCCTCCCACCCCCCCACCCCCTTATTTGCTTTGCGTAACAGACACTTGCCTCTACACTCCATCAGACATCTGTTTTAATATTCCGCCATTCTTCCCTCTCGCTCGTTTCCAAGTTCACTGAGGTTTTTCTGGTCACTCCAAATTTCCATTGGCAGCAAGCGAGGCAACCCCAGGGTGGTTCCTCCTGGAGGGCTTTCAGGACACTGGGGCCAGCCTCTTGAGAGTGAGACGGGTGCCTTTTTCTCCGCGGTGGCTTCCTCGCCAAAAGAAGGCCCTTCCTCCGCTAAGGGCACGGCGAGTACACTCGCACGCACTTCAGCGCGGGATAGGCCGTTTCAAAACAGTGTGTTGCGGTTGGATTTTTCACCACCCCACCCTTGTGTTTGGCGGCGAATGCAGCAAATTCTGAACTCGGGATTGAGGTCTTCCACAACTGCATCGATTTGGGCGGAACAACTCCGATTTGTTTCGTGATGGACGAGGCAGCACCCCAGGAATGACAAATGACAAATCGTCCGTTTTCAAGTGGTGTCTCGGGGGACATATTTTTGAAAAATGACTTTTTTCTTTGCCTGTATACAAATAATCCCGTGTAGTGCCTGGCCCTGCACACCCTCTGCGTGTGAAATTAAACGTGCCAAACACTGAAACTTATTGCAGCCCGCTTTTTAAACATGGTGTCAACATTCGAACACCCCAAATTTGCATATGGTAAATGTAATGTAAATCATGTAAATGTAAATCATGGCATCAAACTAAAAATGGAAAGAGCCTTGAAATACCCCTCCCACACGATGTTATCACAATGAAACAACAACAAAAAAATTCCAGTTTAAAAAAAAAAAAAAAATTGTCGAAGTTGCTGATGGTGTCGTGATGCATTCTGTGTGCGGGCAGCGTGTGATCAGCGTGGATTCGGGTGTGAGTGGTTGTTCGTCTCTTTATCTCTTTAAGTCCCCTGCGACTGACAGGCGACCATTTCAGGGTGTCGTCCGCTTTCCGTCCAAAGTCAGCTGGGATAGGTTCCCACAGCCCTCTGGAACCCTATTCAGTGTTGAAAATAGACGGACGGATGTAAATATGGGGAAGTCAACCCCCCCAAAAAAATGAATACATAGAAGGCAAATACGTTGCGTTGCAATTTTCACACTTTGAGTCACAATCGAACCAGGAAGAATCAAGAATGCAATTTTCCTTTGATTCAGGAAATGGCCTTTTAAAATATAAATGAGCGCACATCGCTTTTCACGACTGATCAACCATGGCGGAGGTCTGTGCTCCAGGGTACTCTTTGTGAGTCATCACGAATTGAGTCATCACCCCCCTCCCCCCCTTACCCCTCCACCCAGAATGCACATGGTAGGGTCCATCCTTCTTTTTGAACCAGAGAGTCATCTACTCATTAACACGAATACAGAAAAACACATTCAGAGTTCTGCTTTTCTTCTTTTTTTTTTTTGAAGAACGTGTATGCATCACGATGGAAACAATCCCTTTTGCCCCCAGACCGCAACGGTATAGCGTCTTGTCTGTCTCACATCAGCCACTATTAAGTAGGAAGTAGCCTGCGAGCTAATTTATGATTTTTTTTTCACTTCAAAGAAAATCAGTTTGAGTTATGATGTCACGCCCCCGACCCTCGAGTCAAAATGGTAGTTAAGATGGTTATTTATATTGAACATCCAACCTCATTTTCCATAAATCAGTAAGTGGATTGCCAACCGTCTGCTGACCCCAGATTCAATCGTTGTACTCGCCTTCATTTTTGTGAATGAGGAAGTAGCCTCCTAAATTACGGATGGACTTGGTCTTTGATGACTCAATGGGACCGTCCGTCAATGCAGGAAAATAGTACGGGTCACTCCAAATCTTGACACTTGGGGCCCAATTTGGAGATTTTTCACTTGCCAGCGGTTTAGACATTAATGCCTGCATGTTGATATGTTGAGTTGTTCTGAGTGGGACGCCACAGGATACGACTATTCAAAGTGTCTTGTCTTTGATGTGAAATACTGTACATGTATTGAGTCCTATGGACTCTGTTGACTGGCGCGTCTCACCACGAGACGAGTGTGGCGGCTAGTGGTTGTGCGTCAATCCCCAACCGGGCAAGCCCGCGGCTTCGCTATTAATCCCACAGGATAGGAAACTACGGGGTGGCTGATTTATTTTTTGTATGGGGGGGGGTAGCGAAAATATCTTTTTGACAGTTTTAAAAAAAAATGCCTGTGAGAATACAACAAGAGGTGAATGAGAAGGAAATTACATGGAAAACAGCTGCGCAGTGAGCAAGTGAACTTCCTCCAGTCTGCGTTGCCATGGTAGCCGACATGACTTGATGGGCTTCGATGAGCAAATGGGCTCCAACTTAGGAGAGCCAAATATTTGCAAGTGAGTGTATTACACAACATACATCCAAAGAAACGCTTTGCGCTCCGCATTGTTTCTGCTGCTCTGAGCCGCTCGAGTGAATGAATGATTGAAGGGAGGCTGGTGCCGTCATAGCCCTCGGTCTGTTTTTGACTTGAAGAGGCCTTTTTAGACAAGAGGCCTTTGTGGCCATGAGGGGAGTAGCTGAGGACTCTGGGATATCTCAGCCTCAGCCTTTGTGTTCACTACTCCACCTTGTCTTGTTTTGTAGTAATCTAGTATTCTCTCTCTCTCTCTCTCTCTCTCTCTCTCTCTCTCTCTCTCTCTCTCTCTCTCTCTCTCTCTATGAAACAGGCCTAGCCAAAAATAACGGTAACCCTCGAAAAAAATTGAAAATAATGTTCAACCAAAGTGTGTCCTCTAATTAGCATCACAGTTGTCCTCAAACCCGTACGCAGTCGGTCGGCCTATTTAAAGGGTGACAAGTAGCCACTGTGCAGTTTGGTGACATGGTGTGTATCACACGCTTAACATGAACCAGAGGAAGCAAATGAGGGAGTTAATCTCAGGAGATTAGACAGCAAATAACGTACAAGTATGTTCCAGGTTAGGGCTATAGAGCCGTCTCCAAGCAGCTCGATGATGCCGTGACCACAGTTGCACATATTATTCCAAAATTTCTTGGAGTGGCTGCAGAAGGAAAATTGATATTAAATTAATGAGACGGAAAACAGAAATAACGAGAAAAAGAACCTGGAAAAGCCTCCAAAGAAAGTAAAGATGAACACCGCATATAAAGTACATCAGTGTCAGATAACATCATCCATAGTTATTTGAGCCCAGCTTCTGGGAGAATGTCCTGTAGACAGACAAGACAAAACGGGAACCTTTGTTAAGTCACACCCGTTCTATGTTCAGACCCAAAAATGAAACATACCAAGAACAGAACAGTGTGCTGACTACGAAACACGGAGGAGGCTCTGTTATGTTCTGGGGCTGCTTTGCTACATCCGGCACAAGGTGTCTTGAATCCGTATGGTCTACAATGAAATCTCGAGACTCTCAAGTTATTCTGGAGAGAAATGTGATGCCCAGCGTCAGAAAGCTTGGTCGCATGCCACAGGAGTGATGTAAATCCTGAGCATTTGTAAAAGGAGCTGAAACATGCCTTCTGGAGACAGGCCCCTTCAAACCTGAGACAAGTGGAGCAGTTTTTTACATGAAGAGTGGGCCAGAATGCCTGCTGAAAGTTGCAAGAGTCTAATTGAAAGTTACAAAAAAATCTTTGAATGCAGTCATTACCTCAAAACGTGCAAAAAGAAAAAATGGTGCCATCGGCCATTTTTGTCCAGGCTTCTACACTTCATGGTGTCTGCCATCGGCTTTTCGTCGCTTCTCTCACGCCGATGGCCCACTCATTGCATCATCTTGAAGCTTGGCAACATGTCATTGTGAGATCACGCCAATGTCCGGTTGCTGACTCACAAGGTCAAAAAGCTGGCAGGGATGCAAGAATCTTCAAAACAAATCAAAGGAGATGCCAAAGCACCTTCTTTGTTGTCGGAGGAGGCAGCCGGACTCAAACATGGCGGTCGTTTGCGCTTCGGGTTGCTGCACACAAGGTGCTACCGTTGAGGAATTCAGCACTTTGGACAGCACCTAGACCAGCTCTCACCGCACAAAAATTCCAACACTGCACTCCCAAAAGCGGGTCCCGGAATGCTTTGTGGTCAGAAATGGGAACGCATTCCTACATAGGTGCAGTAGGCAACAGGGCAGGGCATTTCTTATCTGACCAAGATGTAAGCCTCGACTTATTTGTTCCGAAATGACAGCAATCATTTAGTCACCCCATAGAGACAACGTGCAGAGTGCACGACAAAATAATCACTCTTTATTAGGCCCGCAATGGGAAATTCCAGTTTGACAGCAGCCAAATGGCAAGCTGTCAGCAGTGATGACCAGATGGAGGATTGGAGTACACATTTCTGCCACTATGGGGCGCCTAAGAATATGCTCCGGCCGCCACAAGACGTTACGTCAATTTCTCGGTCACCCTCCAAGACATACAAAGTGGCACTTAGAGTCTTTTGATTTTCTGGATGTGACTCGCGGAGGAAAAGGGTCCTGCGGTCAAATTGTCCAAAGGTGTCAAAAGCCTTTTTTTTTTTTTTTTGCATCGTCCACATCCTCAGACTTCCCAACCCTTTCTTTCCCCATTTTGCAGGCAGCCGGGAAGCGGCGTTCACCTACGCCATCACGGCAGCGGGCGTGGCCCACGCCATCACGGCGGCATGCAGCCAGGGCAACCTGAGCCAGTGCGGCTGCGACCGGGAGAAGCAGGGCTACTACAATCAGGAGGAGGGCTGGAAGTGGGGCGGCTGCTCGGCCGACATCAAGTACGGCATCGAGTTCTCCCGCCGGTTCGTCGACGCCCGGGAGATTAAGAAGACCCCACGGCGCCTGATGAACCTGCACAACAATGAGGCGGGGAGAAAGGTATTCCCGAGTTGAATCAGGAAGGAGTGTGTGTGTGTGTGTGTGTGTGTGTGTGTGTGTGTGTGTGTGTGTGTGTGTGTGTGTGTGTGTGTCGCCATGATGGACATTTGGCGCCCTTT